ATTAACCGAGCTAAGTCGGTTTGTATGGGAGAATCTTGACCTCGGTCGTGTGTACAGACCTCACTGCGTTCGGTCTGTACTCACGACCTCGGTCAGGATTCTCCCATACAGACATCCTGCTCGGTTAATAAGAGCTAAATAATAGCACCATGATTGTAGTCACGATTTCTTGCTAAATTCACGTTTCCGACGATTGTTTTTTGTTCTACACTGAGAAATGGTCCATATTTATTTTACACAGAGAAATCTATTACTCAATCCAAAACAACAGAAAAAAAGATAGGTCACCATACTCGTTTGCGAGGAAATGACGATTTACCTCTAGGGCCAGGTCCAGCTATAAAGAAAAAGCCACCATTTTTTAATACACGCGCGCTAACCACGCGTGAAATTATGCGCAGTAGAGATGCGCAATGCAATACTGGGAAATGACCTTAAGGCAGCCGCACACTAGCCGATTTTTTGTCGTAGAACTGCAGATTTTTTGTCGGGGTCAAATCGGGTGAAAATTTGTCGGGCCATCAGCTTGCCGCACACTAGCCGATTTTTTGTCCCGAGTAACCGCGTTGACGCTTGGGGTGGGGTCATCCAAAATCAAGATGGCGCCTATTCCACTGCCGTGACTCTCATGACATTTCCTAATTGGTTGAGGCGCGCGCGAGCCTCGACAAATTGTCTTGGTCCACCGCACACTAGCCGACAAGGCCCGACAAGACGTTTTAATTTGAGATCTAGCACTGTCAGATACCCGACAAATCCCGATCCTGTCGCAGACCTGTCTGAATTCACCGCACACTAGCCGACAAGTGAAGATTTTGGTCGGCCGACAGAAAATCGGCTAGTGTGCGGCGGCCTTTAAGTTTTAAGCTACTTAAAAAAGCTCGTGCAGCTAGTTCGTGCGCTGGACAGCGTCGTCTTGAATGAACCCGTCTGTTTCTTTTGACGCTCAGTACTTCGTGGAGCTTTACGAAACTTATGTGGTTTCTCTAGTAAATAAACGGTGGAAAAAGTCGCAATTTAAGGTGGCTCCCTATAGTTTTACGATCGTACGCGCGGTTAGGACGAATGTTCAAGTAATCTGCGCGCGCCCAAAGGCAAACGTTAGTGTTTTGCGATATTTCACGACGTCAACATGAGCGCAAAAACCAAAACTGACAGAGAATTTTCTAGTGTTTCCTTCGGTGGAATTCCGTAAAATTTGGCAGACGGGTAATAAATACTTTACTTTAGTTGGAGCTCTGACCAGTTTTTCCGCAGCGCTAAAAGACAATTTGCAAAAATATAAAAAAAAACTGCCTTTACAAACCCTGCTTTTTTTCTTGTTTAAAATTCGTATCTCGCCGGTTTTAATGCACTTTAAAAGACTTGGAAGATTTCACCGAAGGAAATTCAAGAGAATCACAATAGAGTCATAAAACGGTCAAAAAACGCATTTGTTTTGGCATTTATAATTCAAGATTATAACCCAAGGTTTTAAATAACATAAAGACTTTATGATCCACGTTTCGACTGGATAGCTAGGCACTTTGCATTATAGGATATCATGTTACTTTATGGCCTCGAATTAATTTAAGTAACTGATAAACTGCCCAATGTAAGTTTACATAGCCGGATATAAACAGGTGAACTAGAGTTGGGGTATAAAAATACTGTTTGTATCGCAGATCGCCAAGGTTTGTGCCCTTGAATATAGGTGATGGCGATTAACAAGCGCGAAGCAATGCATTGTGCTTGCAGTTAATTTCAGCTGATTTCAAAAGCATCCCGCAGAAAGTACCAGCGAAATAAAATAAGAATTAAATTGTCCCAGAACTTCAACGCCGAGAAAACATTATTGACACTTGTTACTGCTCACTCCTTTTATTTGGGTGCATCTAATCCTTTTACAGAAATCATCAACAACAAACAATCTTAGGGCTGAACCATGTGAGTTTTTTAGCGGTGGAGGGTAAGTGATTTGGTGCAGGCATGAAATTTTAACCCTTTCATGCACCAGGATTTTTTTTCTCGAGACGTGTTTATGCATGTTTTTTTTTTCTCCGTGTAACATGCTTTTTCGAACGTGTGTGAAATTTTTTTTCGGCGGTGGTGGAGTGCACGAATGTTTTTTTGGTACAAATGTGGTTGAAGGATATTTTTATCAAACCCCCCCCCTTAAAAGTAAAATGTTCCACCCCTTACATAAGTTATGATAGTTACCAATCCCAAACTCTTCCTGAGCATTTGATTACTGATCGCTACTGAACCCCGACTTACATACATTATGTGTGCAATAAATATTTTAGCCCGAGTGTCATGGGCGATATTGCCGTTTGGATTATCACACTGTACTATAAATATCGACATTTTTGTCCTCAAAGTAGAAATTATCATAAGAAGCATAAGCTACTGTAATTTCTAAATATTTATACCACTACATGTACTTGTATTTTAATTATGTTTCTCTACTGTTCTACTCTACTGGTTGAGTACCTCTTTCGGATTCTTTATTGTGTGTCTCTACTGGGCCCTTTATATAATGTACCTCTATTGATTCGTAAATACTTTTTTGGTCTCTATAGCTTTCGAAACTCTTCTATAAGTTTAGTCGTCTCTTTTGAACTCTTTACTGTGTCCACCATTGGACCCTTACTTGTATCCTTTTATTGGCTCCTTAGCTGTCGACCCATATTTGGTCCTAAATTCTGTACCTTTATATAGAAGGGCCTCAGTGGTATGCACTCTTGGACAAGGTAAATTTCAAAAATATATATATCCGCTTAACGCCAAACGTCAGATAGATTTGTGATGAGGTACGTAGAAGATAATTTTGGTCTTTATTGCTCTATTCTCTGCAAAGACCTCTTTCATGCTAACTTAAAAGTGTAGCCTTAAAGCGAAAGCTGATAATATGAAACTTTTAACAGATGACAGCTGTCTACCACGAAAACTACAAGTTGGAAGCAGGAAAACAGTGACTACGTACATGAGAGTACAAGACGAAGAACTCATGGACAATTTCATCCTATTTTGGCTCTGCTTCCTTGATGGAAATCACCTTCGTTTTATTTGGTTTGGTGCGGAACCGGAGATAAGCCAGAACAGCTCCAATTATGACTATGGCCACGAACATGATGACACTTATTGCTATTAAAGCATTTCTCGTGGCGTTACTGGTGCTAGCTTCGGTTACCGTGGAGTCAGTCTTCGGTACACACTGGAAATCGGTCACGCCTGAACAGTAATCCGTGGAGAAAAACACGTTATCTGGCGCGCTTTTGAACTCAGTGTTAAGACGAATGATCTTGCCGAGTGTGAGGGAATGGACCTTGTCGATTTCCTGTGAATGAAAACGAAAGCAATGGTTAAAAATTCAGACCTACTGCTGAAGTAATTTTTTTAAGAGAAGACATGTAGTTGTTGAGTTGTATAGGTTTCAAGAGGGCTTCTGGCCTGCCTTTTCTCTCTTTCTTTATATTGGATTAAAGTTCCATAATTTTTAAACAAAGCCCTCTTCATGAATTAAATTCGATAAAATTCACTCGGAAATACTTATACGACAGAGCAAAGATCTTGAAGGGATCGCGTCACTACGAGAACAACACAGAGAGAATAGAATGCTAAATTTTTTCGAACAGCTCGATTATTGTCAGGAATGGAAACCCCTCCTAAATCGCTCCTTTGATTCAGAAAAAAAGTCGGAATAGTACAAGAACAAAGTTGATCCATAACACCAAAAATCCCTCATATAACAGCAATGAACTCTACTGAAGAAAATCTATTGACTGCGGACGCACAGTGGTCAACCAAAAAACTCAGACCACGGGCGCAAAAAGACAACAAAGTCTGCCATATTGAGCTAGAACTACAGTGCCCGAAGAAGAGCTGTAAAACTGCCCGAAAAAAAAGTCTTGTTTTGAACGCATTTTGTAGAACAACATTTAGTATGAATGTGGGTAGTAAATTTGAAATAAGGAATGAAAAGTTTCATAGTTACCTCTTGGGACAGATAACGCTCATACCAGAATCTGTCGCCGTCTCTGATTCGCAAGAAATTTTTCATAATGATTCTGCAAAGAAAAGGAGGATTAATGTTATCTCTATGATTCATCTTTAGAACGCCTCATTGTTTTAATCCGGTCCTATTTCTTAACGGTGGAAAATGACCTTGGTTACCGGGTAATCAAGTAATTGTTACTTGGTAATTTAGCACGGTTACCAGGTAATTTAGCTCAGTTGTGTTTGAGAACACTAAAATAGTAGACATTCATTGATATTCATTTCGACCGTCTCAAGATAACCTGTGGTCCACCGCTATGTAGTCAAAATTGGAGTATATTCAGTTCTGTCCCCATAAGCGTTATGTATGAAGATCTGCCTTCCTTTGAATCCAGAATTACTTACGCTCTGAAGGTCGGTCCCAGTTCACTGCCACTCTCGTGGTCCTCGGCCAGTCCTCCTACCCATAAGTCAATGTCGTTTATGTCTTGGTAGAGATCCTCTATCTTTGTAGCAGTCTTGGAATCTTTGGTAATTTCTGAAAAACTGCTGAGCCCTACAAGGAAACAAGAACAAAACCGGCTTCCGTTTAACATGAAAAAGGCCAAATCATTATGTGCAGTTTTTTTTATTAAAATTTGGCAAACACGTTACTGAATTCTGTCTGTATAATTTGACGGCTCAAATGTGCTGCATCGTTGAGAAAACAAGGCAAGCGAAGTTAAGTGTCAATTGAAGGAACGGGACAACGAAAAGGTAGACAAACAGGCTGAAAAATGAAAGATCGAACGAGTGAAGGACAAAGACTCCAAATATCAACTGCAAACAATCGAATATCCGTAACACCGAGAGTGACCAACAGAGCAGCTGAAATTGTGTCAATACTCAGCCTGGAAAGTACTGCAAGACTTCATCCTTATGGTTAGGGGAAAAGGGGATTCAATCAGACGCCCGTGGAGACCTGTGTGATAATATCACGAATGCTTCTGTCACAAAGCTGTAAAAAGATGTCAAAGCCTGCATTGTGCATAGGTCAGCTCACCAACCTCTTAAATCAAGAGCCTTTCTCGCAGAGTTGTAATCCGGTAAGCCATGATCTCTTCCACGCTGAATGTTCTTGGAGGCTAAATCTGAACCAAGTTTAGGACCAGACGGAAACAGAGCGTTCCGCATGGCATCCACCATCTAAGTCACGAAGAAAGAAAAGTCGATCAATTTTTTTAAATCGTATCTAAGCTACAAGAGTTAAATGAGTGCCAGTGGATAATAGGTAGCGCAAGCTTTTAGTGCGTAAAACAATATGGCAGGTCCGAAAACCTCTTGGTCATTCTCACTTAATCTTTGCAAATACTCGTGACGTAACGGACCACTTAGCCCTAGTTTCTGGGCTTTTTAAAATGAAGACAATAAGTTCTGCTGTTCTTTTTAGAGCTACCCTGGCCGACAACGCTATACGAACTACTGATACTTCTAGGTTCAAATCGTTTACTAAAATGAAGAGGAAAAAAACAGAAACGTTACAAAGCTGACTTTTTTCGAAATCAACCTGGGATGACCACGTGATTAATGATTTTAACGTGATCGATTTTAATAATCTAATCTTATTATATCAAAACCTTATTTGGTTTCGGGCGATGCTTAGCGGAACAAAACAAAAAACAACAGATCAAGATCGAGGAATGCCGAAGAAATCATCTTTTTTGTATTTATCAAGCTAAACCTTGAAATTAACTTGAGTTAAGTTAATTTGTCGAAACTGGCCTCTTGTAGATTAGAGAAATCGAATGATACTCAAATCTGCGTCAGTTAAACTGGAGAAGAACGCTAAAATGTCAGGACTAAGAGCGGTAATGTATGTGTCGAATTGAAACAAACGTACAGCTGACGAGCCTGACAGATCCAGACTAAAAAATATAGGTAGGTAATTATGAATGTTTATCATGCTCCAAACCTTTAAGTCAACTTCCTGTGCGACTTGTTTCACTGCTCCTCTAAAGAGGGAATCTATTCCTCCCTCTCTCGCCACTCTTTCAGGAGAAAAGAAAACGTCTCTAAGAGGGATATGACCGTAATGGGACATCGTACCATCCTCTTCAAACCGCCACAAGTGAGTGTTGACTTGACTGTGGCCGAATCTAAGAAGGAAACAGAAAGTTATACAACAAAATATTTGAAAAGTCGTTACCAACCACTTATTCAAGTTTGTTACGGCGCTTCAATCTCGAACGATAATATTTATGTATCTAAGCAAAGAAAATGGCGTTAAACCATGATATGGCATGGACAAAAAAAATAATTTTTTTGATGTTTCATGATGTCTGGTTACCTGAATGCTGCTGTAGACATCATGTTGCTCATACCGACGTCAATATTCTTATTGTACCCCTGATAAGCAGGAATGTGTTGAGTTCCCCCCAACGTGGCTGGCAAGTATTCACGGAACGTAATGGCCTGGATCTCTGCCGCTACCAGGCGACGCACGGCCTGAAATATCTCCTCGTCAGAAGCCTGGGGAATAGAACAGGTAGCCATAAGTCTAAACAGCCTTCTCACAAGTTGTAGTAGTCCTTGTCTTGCGTTTGGCAAGAGTAAATATGCGAATCTTTTGCCTATAGGGTAGGCAGACTATTGAGGTCGATCGGAGACTGAAGAGAGTCACGAAGACTAACTCTCAGTGCACAAGTTCTGACTTGTGCAAGAATTATTACGGAGAATCGCTGTCTTAATCAGTGAAAGGTTGACCCTCACAGAAATAAAATGGCGACAATGATGAAAAGGACTTTTCGTTAGAGATTATTTGCAGTGTTTTTTCCCTCAATAGATCATGTGACTTTGTACTTAAGCGACCACGTGGAGCTGCTTTTACGAGTTTGTTATGGTCATAACCTATCATAGAAAGTGCTGTTGTTAGCTTTGTTAGTGTCTGATTCGAACTAAATGGTTTAACTCCAAATTAGAAAATCCTAACTAAAATGAAGCTGTCGCTAACTTTAACTTAGACATCGAAACTCGCGGTTCCGAACCTCTAGCAACTGAAGGCCTCTCCGTATCACAAAACTGCTTGAATGATTCTGAGTTCCAATAATTGAAACCATGCTCATCTACATAATATCTCACTTAGTTATCGACCTTTCAGAAGGCTTATCTCCTAGTGCACAAAACCCAGCCCAAATTCCTCCAAAACCACACAAATGCAACCATGAAATTCTAAAAAAAGTTTTTCGTCCTCGTTTGATTTAATCTAGTTTTAACTTGTTTTAAAAAAGATTGTCTTCATAGCTCACCATTTTGTCGTAAAGGAATTCAAGAGCAATTGTTTAAACAAGTGTCTGTAACAAGGGGGTTTCAATTTCAATGAAAATTTAGTTTATTTTTACATAAAAATCGCTTATTTACCTGTGGATTTTCTCCTTTATACTCGTCACAGAGTCGGTTGTGTTCTCTCACAAAGAGGGTGTGAAGTGCAATCAGTCCCGGCTGTTCATTGGCTCTCGAGTCACCAGCAGCAAACAGTCGAGTTGGTTCGCGACCAACTGGGTTGTCATTGGAAACAGAAATTGTGTTTTCCTATTTACCAAACACAACATAAACTGAGCGTTTACTTGGAATATCACAAACCTCATCACATAAATATCAAGTTAAAATGTTAAAGAAGCAAAACTTTATAACATATGTAACAAGAAGTGTGAACGTATGAAGAGGAAGGTGTCAGAAACTCAATGGGAACATCACCATAGATTTCAAATCGGATTGACTGTTTAGAGATAAAAGTTCAATTATTTGGGGTTGACTTTTCTGCAAAATAAACTGTCTAAAACAGAACAAAACGTAAGGGTACTTAGATGCTAGGAAGACTCTATTGGTGAAAGAAGAATATGTTATGTTTTGTTTTAGGGTGTTTATGCTTTGTTTCTTTTGTCTCGGCTTTGTTTGGTTGTTGTTGTTGTTTTGGTTTTTTTTTTTCGTATTTTTCCCTCTTTCTAACTCTTTTTTGCTTCGTATCTAAGATTTCACCAGTGACCAAAATGACATGGTTATATTGGTAAATGTTTGCCAAAGTTCGACTGCAAGTTAAATTTCTTTTAACTTTCTTCAGTAGAGAAAGAGATCACGAGTGAGCAACCGTCCCTTTACTGATATGGGTCCTGGTTTAAACAGCATTTTTAAGGAGCTTTTACTTCACGGCGACTTACCGGTAGCAGATCTCCAGGTCCGGTTTTCAACTTGCCATCTTTAAATTCTCGCAGTGCCTTGTTTCTTTCTTCTGTTTCGCCATACACGACAGAGCCATCAATGTACGAGGTTAGTATGTTAATCTGTTGCCTGGGAGTACTGGTAACGCGGCCCGTACATCTGGTCATGGAAGATAATAACATAGTTTAAGATAATCAGGAAATTACTGTGGTTTTTGTTTTGGTTTTACTATGGTTTGAGATTGGCTGAGTAGTCTAGTTGGTAAGTAATTGGTCTGGGTTTGGTTTTACGGCGTTCGACTGAAAACCACTCCAATACCCAAATTTTTATTTTATTATTTTAAAAGAAGGATGCCTTATTGGCTAATTCAAATTGCGTCACATATTAAATTGAGATGCCTTTCTTCAAGTTGATAGATGTGAACTCTGGCAAAATTGACTGGAGGAAACATAAATCACTGCCAAAATTTATGTTTGAAGGTCTGCGATCGCGCACAATCTCTTGTTTTGAGTTCAAACACTACTCATGAATTACATAACCGAAATGTTTAACGTTCAGCAATAACAAAGCAGTGACAAAGCCCTGTACAGTCCAGCATGCAATGAGCATTGGCGCCCACTCCTAAACAGAGTGATACTACATATATAGAGGATATCATTTGCTGCCTACATATGATTGAAACAAACAGTTATCAAACCTGTTGAAGTTCGAACGCACGAATGGAAGGTAAACATTGCCTTTATTTTGCCTGTCAAAGTGAATATCGCCCTGAACCGAGACAAGATAAAAACATAGATTGCACACAGTAATGAGATATTTATACTATAGCTGGTAATAGAAGGTTCACAAATCATTGATCAATCAAAAGAGAGAGTCGGTAAATCCAATATTTCTGAGTTGTAGTTTGTAAAATATAAATTTCAAAAATGTCAAGAACACGAAGTTTAATCAAATAGCACGTAATTACTCTTAGGAGATATCCGGGAAAATGTTAATTTCTAGGTAGGTTAATTAAATTTACATTAACAAAATGTCTGGATTCCAGGAAGCACGTCTTTTTTTAAAGACATTTGATATTTGAAGAAAACAACATAAAACACAAAGTTGAATATTAAAGTGAATATAATTATGTATCGAACAAATAGGAGTGCAATTCGAATGATTTTTTGAAGATTCTCGACATTGGACGAGCTTTTCTTGAAAACGGAGTAGAACTTGGGATTAATATCATAGCATTTTTCTCGTCCAGTAAGAATTCAGTTGAATGTGCTATAAGGAATTTAGTTCCATTATATATTGAATGCTACCAGAACTGACCTTTGGAACTGGAATGGGCAGCATTACGTCACTCGTGACATCAAAATCACGACTTGACAGCTCCGGTGATTTATCTGTGTCATGAGCCAGGAACTGCAAAGAATAAAGAAAACAAAATGTGACCGTGCGGTTGTCGTATTGTAACATGTTGCAACCATATTGTTACATGGGTCTTCCATAATATGTTGCTATTGCGTTATAAACATTGCAATGTCACACATCACTAACGTCGTTGTCATGTTATAGAATTGAAAAGAACCAATGAATGCTTATTAATCCTCCTCCCTTCAGACTGCTGATACCGCTACTGCGGCAAGGCGGGGAGTACTAAACAGAGAATCTTTGAACCAAAACATCAAAACATTTTCTAACCCTTCACACCCAAAAGAATTTTATACCCAACAATTCTAACATTGAGGCAGGGACTCCTAGAGAGAGAATCTATGAACCAAAACATCTTTTTTTAACCTTCACACCCAAAAGAATTTTATAACCGGAAATCCTAACGTTGACAAAAACCAACTAAAGAATGCCTTTAATGGGCTTACTACCTGCCCATAAGTCATATGAAGATCACTGAGTCTGCGACGGCTAATCTTGGGTTCAGTCTGCAATGAAATATAGAAAACATCGCCATTAGCTTCTCAACCTTGAATTTCTTTAAGCAAAACTTTTAAATCGATCAGACAAGCGGCAGAATTTTATTTTACGGGTGGCATAGTAGTTGATTCAATTTCAGCCTGAGGAAAATTAATTACAATGTGAGCGAAACGAATGTCGTAGTTCTATGTCATAAGAAAATCCCTATTCAAACGATAAGTGATTTACATGTATACGTCATGGTTCTCTTGAATGAACGTTTCTGCGAGCTAGTTGCCCCGGAGTTTGGTGTGTATACCTTCATGCATCCTGTATCAAGGGATCTCCTACCGATTTCCCCAAAGAGACCACTTAATACTAGTTTGATTAGCAAAACCAGAGAGGCTTATTGTATCTTTTCTAACCCTGTATACTTGTCCCTTACCTGCTGAAATAGCTCGTTGCTGATTTTCCTCGGAGAGGGCCTGTTGGCGCCTGCAGGCATAACGATGCCATCAGCGTACATGGCAGGGGCATCGCGTACCACGTCTTCGAGTATTGCACCCCAGAACACGTGATCTTTGTTGTTCGAGGTACCGTCCAAGCGTCTATAATACAAAAAGAAAGGTTTTTTAAACCTGAATATTTAAAGTTGCTCAAAAAGGTCTCCAGCATTTATCAGCACTTCTTCTTTCATGCTCTAATAATGGTATCAGAGAAATGCCCTATGGTATGTTTCAAAGTTACCACAGCAACAGTCTAACTCGTTAACAACAATTTTTATATAGCTTTATTGGCTAATAACCTTAAAAAGGGTCTGGTGACCCTCATTTTTGAAAATAGAGAGAAACAGAGAGGGACCTTAGAGAGAGCCACCTTAAATTTGAAAAATTTAAGGTAGCTAATGTGACTTTGCTGTTTGTCTACGAAAAGCAAATGGATTTCTGCCACCGAAAAGCAAGCGGAAGTCTGTCTTCGTTGATCGTTTTCTACCTGTTTAAATCAATTAATGGCACCTGTACGTGCTGTAGTGTTAGACTTGCCACAACTCGACGTTTGCTTAATCCTTATTGCAAAGGACTTTGAGAAAGTCTACTGTAGTGTACAAGTGTCCCTATGTACTGTTACCTTTTTCTGCGCAAAGAGGAGTACTCATTCAAAAAGCCATCAAAAACTACTTTACAAATTACAAATTATCATACAGAAGGGATTTCAATGAGGGAGTACTAAACCACTCGTGGATTACACACTCCTCTTCATCCGGGATCCGAGCTGGGTATTTTCGCAAATTAACTTCATCAGTGAATAAAATATCCTCTTCTTCATACCTTCCATCTGTTACACTTGGTGTGGACCCTATTTTCCTTCCAGCCTGACAACCACTAGCAGTGCCCTCCGTGAACACAACATAAGACGCGGTACTGGAGTTCAGCGGTTGTCCACCCGGACTAGGCATCACACTCACTGCGTACTTAAAGGTCTCGTTGCTTAGGTCCTTGTACTCTACGCCAAGATTTATTTTCAAATCCACTGTTCTGCCATCAGAATTTATCGTTACTCTTGAGTTTGAAGGCTGAAGAGGAAAATCAGTTGTTTACACGGTTACAGTTTCTTCTCTTCTCGTTTTTATATACGACAATTTTTACCCCATGCATGGGTATGGGTATTTTGGTCGTTGGCAAACTCCTTCCGAAGTGACCCTGTTTGGTTCCGAACATTTCTATGAATAGCATTCTGTGGTAGAGCGGTTTTCAGTTGATCAGTGTCGTAAAGTCACAACCACATGATCACTCTGGCCAATCAAAAAAAGACAAAAACAGGCCGGTGAGCCAATCAAAGGTCGAAGCAACTACGTGAAGCCAGCGCCCTACGCGGGAAAACATGTGTGAGCGGGTCACGATTAGTTTTGCCGTTAGTTCTGTTTGGGTGAGACCGTGAAAGGACCTTTTATCAAACCAATCACGAAAGCGTGGTAATGTAAACCCAATCCACTTTCGGCTCTCAAGGGAAAACTGCTCCGACATAGGGCTTGGGAGAAGTTTCCATTCAATCCAATGATCTTGAACTAGACCGTTAGCTTCAGCCAGAAGCCAGGCAAACTTTCGAATCTAAACAATGCAGAAAGCACACTGATTGAATAGCTATAAAATACTCGCAATATTAAATGCCAGCATAATTATATTCTTTCTCCAAAACGCTATTTGTAATCATCCTGCGCTTGTCTGCTCGAACGCTGATTAAAGCTGATCCAGGCTTAAAAAGTACGTAACTGAGGTTTTATTTTCTCTTTTGTTAATAGAGTTTCTTTCGTTGCTAATATGACACATTAAGCTAGTGACTTACCTGTTCTTTAATTTCCGTAACGAATAAAGAAAAGCACTTGTCAAGGGTGGAATATGAAAACGTTTTCCCTGAATCCGCTCTGAAAGAAGGTTTAAAACCATAGTTAGTTTCCTTAGAGATAATGTCAAGAAACTGTCACGCTTATATGCAATTGAAATAAAGAAAATAAGCAACTAAATGAAATGTCAACTTGTTTGGGACTGAAGGGGTAGACAATGGGAGACGAAATGGCATGTAAACAATCACGGTGTTCCATATTTTCAATCTATACGTATCTCGTTTCTAAACTATTATGATCGTATATGGATCCTTCCCAGGCCTATTCTGATTTTGCTCGTTTTCTTAATGTTAGGACTGCAAGCCAGCTCTTTTCCTTGGGAATGGCACTTTTGCAATATATTGACTTTGTTATTCGATACGCGTAATACGGTGCATGTACCGTAAATTCTCGAATTAGCGCCCGGGGCGTTTATTTCAAAATTAGTAGCAGACGGAGGCGCTTATTCGAGGGGGCGCTTAACCGAGGGGAAGGGGGGCGCTTATTAAATTTTTCCCAAATCCTGACCCGACATGATCATTTTTTAATGCATCATCTGCGCATAAACAGCAACATAAGCTGTTTATCGACATAAAAAACGTGTTCACAAACTGAAGAAATGTACAAATCTAATACTACACAACGAAAACTATACATCCTTTGTTGTCTCATTACTTGTCCACAAGATCGGGGGAGGGGAGGGGGGCGCTTATTCGAGGAGGGGCGCTTATTCGAGGTGGGGGGCGCTAATTCCAGGATTTACGGTAACTCGGCAAGCTAACTGAGAACTCAATAACTCAGTCATATGGCCGTGCATGTGCGGGCCGGCTGCACATAGTCAGCGATCCCAATTGTTGGAACCTCCAATAGGTCTAAAATGTTACAACAAACCGGAGCAAATAAATGGGAAATGAAATCGGTCACTGAAGAAAGGTTAAGTCCCGACTGTCGTTTCCTTCACAGTAGATTATTTGATTAATCAATGGATTAACTTATTAATTCATTATTAGTCTTAATCATTTTTCCTAACTACCAATATGTATATTTGAAATTAGATGGTGGGGCATTATTCAACAGTGAATGAACTATCACTTTAAAATTAAGCAGTTATCAGTCCTTCCCAATAAAAAATTACTTTAATAAGGCTACCCATACTTACATGTCGGGCTGAAGGACTCGCAGTCTTGTATCAGGAGGTACGTCAGAGTATGTCACGGTGACACCAGACAGCCACTTGACATGAACTGTTACCTGGCCACTGTTTCGCCCCAGTCCAAAGTGAGCGACTCGCGAACTCTGACCCAAGAAGTGAGTACTGGAACCGATTTCTTGTGTCTAATAAGAAAGCTAACTTTGTCAGAGGGAAGTATATATGTTGGCAAAAATGTAATTAAGTTGTTTCCGGAGGTTTGTTGCTTTTGTTTCAGCCCCCCAGGCATAGCAGAGGTTCGCTCGGCAATTGAAAACATGAAAAACGGAAAAGCCCCAGGAATTGATTCACTTCAAGCTGAACTGTTGAAAGCGGATATTTTTATTTTTGTTTCTGTTGCTACGTTGTTTTCATCTGTCCTGTTTTTTTAATTGCTGTTGTTGTTGTTGTTTTTCTTTTTCTTTTTGTTTTTGTGTTGCTACAATTTAATTATTCTAATCCACTGTAGGAAAAAAGATGGCGACTGGTACGTTTACCCATAATTCGTAGCGCACGAAAACTTTAACAACGTTCATAAAAACGTGCAGAAAAGTTCATCAAAATCTTCAAACCCAGCATACACAATGCTGACAGGGACAAATAATGCAAAAATATGGCTCAGTCCTTGCACTTTATTGGCTGCGTAACGCTCGCATGGTATTGTGGTAAAACGTACAGCCGCCATCTTTTTCCTACGGAAGATTGTTGGCTTTTGCGGAATTTGAGGAGTCTCTGAGGAGTTAAAAAGCGTGCTTAGATCAAAGCAAAGTGTAAAAATATACTCCACAGAGAGTATGAAATCTAGTAAAACAGTACCGAGGACTAACAACGAAGATGATAGTAAATTGCAATAATGACGATCTGAAAGCCTGCTGACCCTCAATTATTTATTGTGTGACTTCTCTTTCTTTGAAATTCTTCAAATGTTTATCTATCTGTAACGCGGCTGAATTCTTTCAAGATGACAGCCCTTCTTTAATGACCAGAAGTAGCCAAGTTTATGATTTAAAAGTTAAGAGTTGGACACAGATGGTGAAAAGAGCTGGGTAACGTGTAGTACTTGTGTTTTTGCAGTCGGTACCGGGAGAAAATATCAGGTTCAGCACTCGCCATGTGGGTGATGGAAAAAAAAACGACCAGGTGAGAAAATACCTGTTTGTGATTATTTGCCATGGTAACTTGCACACGGGCACCAAGGCTGTCACATAATTTATTTTGATTCTTGGCACACCTATTAAAAATGGAAAATTACATCAATTTTTTTCTTGGTAAAAAGCTTTGACTTACGGCGAAGAAGGTGTAAATGGCTTGGCCATGTGCAAAGTATGGAGCTCACAGCGCATTCAAGAGCCGCACTGACATGAACTCCTGAGGGACGAAGGAAAAGGGGGCGCCCAAGAACAACATGGAGGAAAACGGTAATGGACGAGATGAGGAGTGCTGGTATTGGTTGGGAGAGAGCACAAGACTAGCCCACGACAGAGTGATCTGGAGGGACCTCGTTGAGACCCTATGTGCCACGGGGCATTCCGGGATTGAGTGAGTGAGTAAAAAGCTTTGGCTGTTACAGTTTGGAATGCCTTAAAACAAATTAATCCGTTAAAAGGAGCGACTTAAGGTGATGAAATAACTTACTGATGTACAGCACGCACTCTTATCCAGTTGTTTGGTTCTTTCTGTTGATACTGGTAGAAAAATGGAGCTCCGACATTATTGCACACTATGACATCTTCATCACCATCATCTGAAGACAAGACAGAAAATTTTGAAGAACTTCAATTCATTTCATCTATGCCGTGAAATAAATCTATATGAGGGAATGGTTCCATAACACGAGGATGTGATAGGTCTAAGTTTGAAATGTTGCAAATTTATTCTTTCCAAATGCCACGCACTTCTTCCAGTTACCACCTTACATACTTATTACATGTGAAATGAATTGCTTATACATCAAGCAATTTTACAACGGTTTTGGCGTTCTATTTGACTCCTGGATTCGATGTTCAGTTGTAACTCACAACTGACTAGTATCGTGCCATGTTAGTTAAGACAGGAAAATGTCTCCACTTGGCCCAATTTAAATCAACGTTGTAAAAGAAAACTTAAACGAACATCTATAAATGCCTCCAGATGCTCGAATACAGTCCTTGCTTCTCCTTACTGCTGCAAAGCCATGACAATCTGATAAGAAACTCAAAGCAATATTGTTTTAAAAGAGATGTATGCGTAGGCCTAGTGTTCTTTGTGTAATGTCTTACCATCATAGTCCCATTTAAGTAGACCCCGTCCTTTCCCTCTACCGTTCAATCCATAGACAGCAGACACCTGAAAAATAGTATGGAATCGTTAATCAGAAGCCATGGCATATATTCCTTATCGAAGAATGTGCCCAGCCTTATGCCTATTAGGTCTTTGCATTTATTCAGTTTTCTAATCATCTCCTACTTCCTGCAGGTCCTTACCAGCCTTTTGCTGCCTAATATAGTTCAGTTTAGCTGCAAATATTATAACTGTATGTATCATAACCTGCATTACCAAAAAAATATACTTTGATTAAAAAGGTCACGGCTGTAACTTTTTAATATCAGTTAATTACACAACTGCTCAACAAAACCTCAGTTCAGGAATTTTTTTTCAGAGCGTTTTTCTGGGTGGATATGTACATTGTGTTTCCGAAGAAGTCAAATGATAGGAAAGCTTTTCGAAAAAATAAAAAACTCGTTTCCTAAAGGAGATAATTCAGATAAAATTTCCTCGTTTGAGAGCACCAACATGGCCGCCGTGACGTCAAAACTCATGTGAATTACCACTTATGCATACCTCTTGAGTTTTTCCGTTTTGGCCAGCGCCAAGATTTTGCCATAAGTTCATCTTGTTGAAGTCATTTCCTGAAAAAGCACATACATCATCATTAGAGTTGAGGGACTCAGTAAAAAGTAAAAAAAAAATATTTTGAAATGTCGTGAACTGAGCAATTCCGGTCGAACTTATGCCATTTCATTGAAAAATACGCTTGTAAGTAAACTTACGTATACAATACTTGAAATCGCATCACACATGTGTAATCTTACCACTTGTCGAGATAAAATCCAGAAATCCATTGTTATCAAAGTCCATTAATGCTGCTCCCCACGGCATACCTCCATTCTCCACACCAGCCTAGAGCACAAAACCCACCAACACCAAGTTAAATGATGGCAGATGGTGGGACATGTGTGGTAATGAGTCGAACCGAAGTAATCACATGATCACGAGCTATGGAAGAGCATTGTGAAGAACAATTCTAGCACGATAATTGTTTGTTTTTTCGAACTGTAACCAGAAACTGTGACTAATAAACCTTGGAAAAGACTTTCTTAAACCCTTTCGAACTCAGTAGATGGTACCAAACGTCTTTCAAAAAGAAAAGCTAAGTAAGATAAGAGGATAAAAACTGGTCCCGCGCTATTTCCTACAGCAAGAATAACGAAAAACAAATCATGGGTTCTGAAAATCAAATGTTGATTTATTTTCTCATTACGTTAGCCTGACTAATTTCGTTTTTTGGAAAATATATCCTTTATTAATACACATAAACCTATCTACGATACAATGCAATAAACTACAATTTTAACGGTTGCAAAATTAATATAACAATAATATAACAAAAGAGGAGCTCAGTACAGCAGAAACTAATGATGAAGACATATCACATATCAACAGTGTTTTGTGGTGTGTTAATAAAAAAAGAGAAGACATATCACCTTGTCTGTGGCCTCTTCAAATTGCTTTCCTCCTTGATAACGATATAGCACGTTTCCGCTGTCAACATACATACAACCAGACATTGAACATTCACTGCGGTTCTGATACATGGCGGTAGAAAACCAGTCGAGAAAGCCATCGTTGTCCCAATCTCCTATCGCATGACCCTTAGCGTTCTGTTAACAAATAGTTTATTGCATTGATTGGTGTAAGTACTGTACATAAGCAAGAGTTGATTATACTATAGTGTTGACACAGTTAAGGACATTTTGGTACTTTCTTTTTATGTTCCCAATCGAATATGGCTTGTTATAGTTTTTACAAAATTACTTTTATTTTTTCATACAGCAGGACTGAATGCTGTCTAGTTTCGAACTAATTGGATGGAAAAAAATATCAGAGGTATGCCAAAATTAGACGAGGTTACCTGACACGGAAAAGGTTTTTTTGCTTATACCAGATAAATACTATATACAGGAAAGTCTAATTTTCACAAGTTACAAGTACGTTCAACAGCTATAAGATTCTTTCTTAGTTCTGCGTTGATCCCAAATGCACTTATTGGGATTTCTCATTTCGAAGTGGAGGTAACTGAGCGAAACAAAGAATTCGTTCAAGTACCTGCATGGCGTCCAGGCCGCAAGACTCCGTACACTCGGTAAATGTGCCGTTTTGATTGTTCCAAAACAATCGGCTAACACCGTAGTCTGCTGTCACTAACAATTCTGGCCAACCGTCATTGTCAAAGTCCTACAACGTGGACCACTTTAAAGTTAGATGCTATCGCGACATCTTGTGATCTAGATGTAATCGTTTCATATTCTAAATAAAACTTGTAACTGAGATTACCTTCGTTACAGGCTTAATAGTCAAAAAACAACAATTCAATGATGATCATTTTTGTAATAAAGAATTACGTATAACCAGTTTGGCCATAATGAAAATACTCTCTCGCTCTAACTCAAGGTTGCATCAATCTGGTCAATTCAATGCCCGCGCTTCTCTAGGGTGACATTGGATGGGGCCGGTGGAGGAGCAGATTCCAGCAACAAATTCCATTTATAACTGTATATCAAGAAAAAATGCTACACTGTTTTTTTTTTTTTTTCATTAGCTCGCTTTAAAGGAATTACGCTGCTTGTCCGATATGCAGGCCTTTTGGTGGTTTTCTGAAGGAAAAGAAAATTTGGAAAATTTTGCAATGTCATACCAAAAAGTAGCAAAACTAACGGTACTTTGTTAGTAACTCTCAGAAGTCATCTTTGCTTGATAGTTAAATAACATTTACAACCAACTGTTACGTAAGAAATACTACCAAAAATGGAATACACCAAACCCTCAAACCTTAAACTATTTATGTATAGTGGCGTGATAAGAAGTATACAGTCCCTCAAATTTATAAAAGATATTGTGAAGAATACCCTGATTTGGCCAAGATGTTTGTTTTGCCAATTCTACATAACTTACAGTAAATGAAGAGCCATATGTGTAGGTTCCTTGACTGAGCGCAGAGTCATTACGGTAACCATCCATATTCACACCAGCATCCATCGTGACGTCTTCAAAATAACTAAAATTACCAACCACATGAATTAACTGTAAATTAGGAGCCATGTATTTGAAGTGGAGAACGCACATGGCCTTACGCATGTTCCACGAGCTCATGGGTTAATTTGAGGTCAGTAATGAAGGAAAAGGGAGGTACAAAATCATGGTGCTTTCAGTCTCTTTAATATGACGTTAATTTGGTCTTGTTCTTCCTTCATTATTTTTGGTTCAAATTTAACTCATAAATCTACTAGATACTTCTACGCATTGATGTGACGGGGCCATAACTATAAGTCGTTTATCTAGCTGTAGGAAATTAACATTCAAGAAACAAATGCATAATGCAATCAAATTTTCAAAAAAGCGTCCACGATTCAAATAAATTCCAAACTACTTGTAAATTATCCAAACTTACCCAGGATCCCCGACACCTTTGTTTTTGAGAAGCCTGGAAGCTGTCGGCTGAAATGTAATAGCATCATCATCAAAACCTCACTGATCTCCTTATTGTGACTCTAGTTCAAGTTTCGTGTTGGCTGTGGAGGTACATGGTAATCGCAGTGGCAGTGGCAATAGCGGCAATGGGTGATGGTGCTGATGCTGGTGCTGATGACGTAGCTATGTTGGTGGAGAGGGCTTAGGAGTACAGAAGGTGGTGATGGTTGGCTGTGGTAGTGATGGTGGTGGTGGAGGTGGAGGTGGTGGAGGTGGTGGAGGTGNTTCCGAACGTGCAAGATAGCGCCATCTTGCCCGTTCGGGTAGCCGATCACACCGCAGGATTCGGTTCATCTTAGTGAGCCATATAACAAAAATGCATATTTATATGCCCTGATAAGCTCAAGAAGTACAGTTGTTGTCTCTTCTTTGTAGAGTGTTGATTCGGTGACGTTGTTTCACTTACGTTCTAAAAGTCTCTCCCAGTTCACTGCCACTCTCGTGGTCCTCGGCCAGTCCTCCAACCCATAAGTCTATATTGTTAATGTCTTGGTAAACTTCCTCCATCTTCTCGGCAGTCTTGGAATCTTTTGTGATCTCTGAGAAACTGCTGAGTCCTTCATGAAAAGAAAATGCCTGTACTTTAGACAAAGAAGAGCTTAAGGAAATGCATAGATTGAAGTAAAATGGAAATCCAGTCGCTCACGACTGTCTAAAGTAGGTTTTTGCTGTCTCACATAAGCTACGTCACGGTTTGTGCGTCTTGAAAAGTTCAGCCTAAATTTTTTCAAGTTCGTTGTTTGTAATCCGAGCTAATCTCCTCCATCCTCAATATTTCTGTGGTGTTTTTCTATCTTAGTAAATGTCTATTTTTAGGTTTCCTTCGATGTATATGTAATTTTGTTCGTGGCCAAAATAACTCAAAATCCCATAACTGAGCTTCTTCACAAGCAGAGAGTATTTAGTGAGTAGAAAACATTTTGAGCATTTGGCGAAAGCTAAATGCTGCACTAACCCGTTAGCCCAAGTGCCTTCCTGACAGAGTTGTAATCTGGTAAGCCATGATCTCTTCCGCGCTGTATGTTCTTGGACGCTAAATCTTGGCCAAGTTCACGACCGGACGGAAACAAAGCGTTCCGCATGTCATCCACCATCTAGGTCGCACGTAAAGAGAAGACAATTAACATTTCCCATTTGAAAGTTCTTATATTACAGTTATTAGTTACAAGCGGGGTCCTGATTACAGGGTAACTTTCATAGCGGAGACGTCCAAGTCGTGGTCTAAGCCATACACAAACAAATGATCAAGCATTTTGGTAATACTTTCCATGACTCTGTTGTCAAGTTTCTGCAAGATTTTCACTCTAAGGCGAGTTGTTCTTATAAACAGCTTGTTTACCTTTGTTGTTACAAATCTGCAAAAGGCCAAGTTTCGGGTATATAAAGTGAGATAGAAAGAGATAAAGGCGTGTTACGCCCTCATGATGGAAGAGAAAGCGGGGAGTCAATATGGTTACTCATTACTACTCCAACCTTTAAGTCAACTTCCTGTGCGGCTTGTCTCACTGCTCCCCTAAAGAGAGGCTCTATGCCTCCCTCCCTTGACACTCTTTCAGGTGAGAAGTAAGCGTCTCTAAGGGCGAGGTGGCCATAATGAGACATCGTACCATCCTCTTCAAACCGCCACAAAAGAGTGTTGACTTGGCTGTGACCGAATCTAAAATTAAACAAATGATTGAGTTACAAATTACTACAGAACATTGCTTGGACATAGACCCTTAGGGCGTTTCAGCTTGTGTAAACGTAGGTAACAGTCGAAACCTTGAATTAATCTTGACTTTTCATTACCTGAATGCAGCTGTAGACATCATGTTACTCATACCAACGTTGATACTCTTATTGTACCCCTGATAAGCAGGAATGTGTTGAGTGCCCCCCAACGTGGCTGGAAGATATTCACGGAACGTGATGGCCTGGATCTCAGCCGCTACTAGGCGACGCGCGTATTGAAATATTTGTTCATCCGTGGCCTGGGGAATAGAGAAACGTTTGACGAAAATATTCTTGCTGCTACTTTAAGTTGCATACAATGAATAGAGTAAGGCTTCCACAGAGAAAGGTGATATTAATTGTCTGTGACAGCAGTTCAAATGCTCGTTTTTCGCATGTATAAGTAAGCAAAGTTTACAATACGCATGACAGCAAGGGAAATCATGTATATTAGGTAAAATCAAGAGAGAAGACGGAATATTGCCTGATGAAATTTACCTGTGGATTTTTGTTTTTGTACTCGTCGCAGAGGCGGTTGTGTTCCCGTACAAACAGAGTGTGCATTGAAATCAGTCCTGGCTGTTCATTGGCTCTCGAGTCTCCCGCGGCCAACAGAAGACCTGCATCACGACCAACTGGGTTGTCATTCGATAAAGCTTCTGTGTTTTCCTGCGAAGAAAGCAAATAGTGAGCCAATTATCCTTTGCGCAACCTCGTATCGTAGCTGGCGGTTAGTTCTTTTTAGTAGTTTTTACCGTGATAAACTGTTAAATTCAATGTTTTTCAGTTGCATCTACAAGTACGTGCAAATCTTAGTTTTTTGTCTCAGTGTAACATACCGGCAAGAGTTCTCCAAGTCCGACTTTCATCTTGCCATCTTTAAATTGTCTCAACGCTCTGTTTCTTTCCTCTGTTTCCCCATACACGACAGAACCATCAATGTAAGACGTGAGCTTGTTAACTTGTTGTCTCGAGGTGTTGGTACTGCGACCAGTACATCTGACGAAAGAAAAAAGTATTAATGATCGTTAAATACAACCTAAGCCAATCACAAACTCGAACTACTTACGCAGTCGAATATCGTGCCTGTAAATTAAAGAACAAATTCTTTAAAGCATTTCTGGTATCTCTATGGCTAAAGTAAGCTACTTTGCAGTTTTTTTTCGAGGAAACAGGTAAATGTTATCAAACTATTGCACTGCACATTAAAGTAATTCTTGATACTTAAAAATAACAGGAGTTTTGTTTCCAGTAAGTTAACTGAGTGTTATGCATGCACAGAGACAAAATAGTTTGATGCTTTTCAATAATTGTAGAATACACTTTTCATTTTAAAGATTGGATAGCTGGTGACACACGGATTTGCTCTAGACCTCAGGGAAGCAATCGTTTGTTTTTGTTTATAAGGCTATTTACTCCCTCTTTCTACGTATTTGCTGCTCAATTTCAATGGAAGCAATTTGTGTCAGACCTGTTAAAAGTTGTTCGCACGAAAGTAAGGTAAACGTTGCCTTTATTCTGTCTGTCAAAGTGGATATCTCCCTGCATCAAGAAAAGATAAAAAAGAAGACCAATTAAGTTCTCTTCGCCATAAGTCCATTCACTCATTATATATTCTTTCAGAGCATGGCTATTTTTACAATTGAAGTATGTGCGCTATAAAATTTGAAATCAAGTTTAACTTCCCTTTTGAAAAGTCTCTTAACTGACCTTTGGAACTTCAATAGGCAGCCATACGTCACTGAAAACATCCGCAAACTCCCGATTAGCCAGCGTGCCTGACGAATCCGTGTCATGCGCCAAAAACTGAAAAGAGTAAAGAGTGCAAAAATGAGAACCTGGCAACCTCTGCTGGTACCACATTGCATTACTGCAGCTAATTGTACGTAGCACGTATACGCAATCGCAATTAAAATGCATGCCACTGCCATGACTTATTTTAGGTATTGAAAGGATTAAGATAAGTGACTCTGGTTCCAAATGGCGCGTAAATATTGTGTACTATACTGTATTTACCTTTAGCAACTAAGAAGAACTTTAATGCAGAAATTGTCCTAAATCATCCATGATTCCAAAGACGGATCTAATAATGACATACCTTCAGACATCTCCATGGAAACATAAAGTCAATCCCGCCCTCCTTCCACTCCCCCCTCATCAGTACACGGAAAAAGAGATATGACTCCCTTTGCTAAATTCAGAACCTAACTTACCTAACTTACTAACTGACTAGGTTATTGAGTGATTGTCTGAGAGATACATTAGCTAGATGGACTTATAAAACGCAAAACTTTACCTGTCCCCAATTGGGATGAAAATCGCTGAGACGCCGAGCGCTAATTTTCGATTCAATCTGCAAAAGAACATGAATTAGTTTAGTGTTTATTCTTTTCATTAATTTTTCGAGACTTTCTGAAAGATCAACGGTTAGAAGTGAGTAAGCGACAGTTTTTCTTTGAAATCTTCCAGAATTGAAATAGATCTTTTTACAACAGCATAGATATAAGATGTAGCGTCAAGAGGGATCAACACTGTTGTACAATTATATTCTACCGAAGGTGAAGATAAAAATGCACGATAGTTAGCAAGGAGAATATTTGAGCTGATCTTGAGACTCAAAGCGTTGACCAATCCTTTTCTTGAGTAACCTACCTGCTGAAAAAGCTCATTGCTGATTTTTCTTGGTGAAGGCCTGTTAGAACCTAACCCGTAAATTGCGTCCACATATCTACAGTTTCCCGATTTCCTCTGCTCAGGAGTACAAACGCCTGCGGGCAGAGCGATGCCGTCAGCGTACATGGCAGGTGCATCACGTGCTACGTCCTCCTGTGCGGCGCCCCAGAACACGTGATCTTTGTTATTTGAGGTTCCGTCGAGACGCCTGTGAAGAAAAATTACAGGTCTGCCATGCGTACATACATTACCTATGGGTTACAGTAAATGGTTGTCAGTAGTTCGTCTTGTGCAATCGTCTGGCTGAGAGTAGTTCAGAAAAGAACTGTTGTTGGTGACTAACGTTTCGACAACCTGAGCGGAAGTCATCTTCAGAGTCAAGTGAATAGTGTTTGTCAGTCGATGGTGTTAAATAAGTCCGGTCCGTTGAAAGTAATTGGTCAGTTTAGCCGTGATGGTAATTTCCTGTTTTTAGGTGTTTGATTGGCGAATACAAATAGGCTGCTACCTACTACATTATAGAAATTGGCAGCCTAACCAGTCGAGAAACGATCTCAAGGAACACGAGAAATATAATCCGCAAATTATGCTCAGCTGCATCCAGAACACAAAGTTCATAAACTCCAGTGTACCGTGTGTGGTCTAAATGGTGTCTGCGTTAGAGGCTTACCAGAATAATACGTAGCGAAAAATTTACTCAGGCCGTTATTTGCTGAGCAACACGCACCGTTCAAACGTGGCGCAATGGCTTCATAGTAATTCTTAAAAAAAAGTCGACTTGTATTTGGATGAGATTCTTGTGTCTTACAAACTTCGAGGTGTAAGTAGTAAACTCTCTGAACTAAACACAATAATACTCAAAACCAGAGAAAGTGAACAGCATGTTAAAGAAAAAAAAGAAAACGTTTTAAACATGAAGAGAATCCCGATGATTGTAAAAGCTATCTGAACGTACCAAAAATTTAAAAGTCTTAAAAAGTGTTCTGGTTTTGTAACCTCCGCTTTAAGCCCGGAAGTTTATATCGGGGCACAAGGAATGTGCAGGGGGCAATTTTACCCGAGGGATTTTTGCGTCGGCGATTTGGGCACTCGTATGTTCGGTGATTGTTTTGTCTCAGTGAAAGTTTCTGGCATTCGACGAATTTTACAATTTTTATTACTTTCTTGCTTAGGTGTCTGTTTAATCGTCAACCAAATATAAAAATACGACTTCCTCATGATCAGGCCCTAAACCATTCAAAATACTTTCAGATTGAAGGCTCTGTAGCTGAATTGATGCGTCACACGAACTCATTGAATGTGTTGAGTTGTTTAATTTTGCGCGTCGGAGTTGAAAACAGGAAATGATATTTGTATCCGCCAATATCGACATAAGTCAGGTAAACATAATTGATTAGTGTAGTATCTTTGTTTTTTGAAAAGTAAGTGATACAAAACACAGCTCGTACATAGAAGTTGATATTTTAACCAGCAATTCACACCATGGCATTTTTCTCTGACATCTGCTCATCGATAACCGTACTAATTCGTACCTAAAGTCTGAAAGGGCGCCAGAAGTGAACCGGAGAGAATTATTCTACTTTATGCAACATATAACATGACAACTTCGTGTTTACATGAAGTGTGTCCCTTGGTTGCGTGTCGTGCAATAACCAAACTTAAACTTCTTTTATTTCAATATTGTTTGCGGCATAGACTAAACCCGGGACCCGGTAACATCCCGTAACACCCCGGAACACCCTTAAACTTAAAAGAGCAAACTATAGCCAGTATCACCAGCCTCTGACCACTGAACGCAGTCATTCATGTCCTTGGCCAACTACTCACCACGCACCTTAATCCTAACTCTAACCCAGCCAATTCCGGCGTGTTTTGTGATTTATTTTTGGTAAATGAACAGGTTTTGCTAACAGTTTGGAATGAAGAATTGAAAATACGTACTTTACGGGCAAAGAAAAGTCTCGATACAAAGATAACGCACTCGGTCAAACCTAATGAGAGATATCTCTTGTATTTTTGTTCCTCACTTCAGCAGCTTCATCAAAAAAGCATAATTATAGTTCTATTTTCTGTTTTATTATTTTTATTCAGTAGCTACACGTTTCAGCTGTGAAAGCGGGTGAATACTTTCGCAAAAGACCAAATAATCTCACTCCTTACCTGTCATCTGTTACGCTTGGCACAGGTCCTACACTCCTACCACCTTGGCACTGGCTTGCCGCGGAGTGAATGAGAAATAAAATCAGAAAAATGGAGAACGAGACGTCTGTTGCCGTTTTAGAAAACATTGCGCCACGTTCTTTAACTAGAACTTGAACAGATCTGCTTCTGCAGCAAGACAGAAAATTGGAAAAGGCTCAAGCTTTGTATCTAAAATAATCACCGACTATCATTCCTCGGTGAATTAGAGAAATACAACAAAACCCACCTCAAAATGTGCTTTTGCTTGTCTGAGGAATTAACCGTCTTTCAATGATTATTTACGTAGATTTACGAACAGAGAGAGAGAGTAACAAAACCGGCGATTACCATAAACGCTGAATCTTCTCTTTGAAATACTAATTAACTTAAATGCTGTTATTGCAGAAGTGCTGTACTTTCATAACTCATATGATGAATAATGAGCCGGTAGCCGGTGTGCAAGGGCGTGTCGTTACGGTCTAACTAACAAGAATGTTTTTATGCTGCGAACAAGTTGTTTTTTCTTGTAGCAATAAGGTAATGGATAGCTGTTCTTGGTTTTTGCTCTGTCGCCCGTAAAGATCACCTCGGTCATGTGTAAAACTTAAAACACGAAAACGCCTGAAAACGTGGTAATGATTTAACCACGTGTGCTAGGAGAAGATTAATGCTTCTTTAGCTTTTGTAAAAGAATTTAATTTCTGAATGTCATAAATAAAAAAGACGACACCAAGAATTAATTGTTATCATTGTTGAAACGAAGTTTTGGTTTATCACAATGAGGAAATGTTTACAAGATATCAGTTCTCTTTCAGAGTCATAGTCATTTAAATCAACAAAACAAGTGGACAGCTTATATAACATAATATGAAGTATTCAAAGAAAACTTTCTAGAAGCTTTCATTTAATTACATCACCATGACTCTGAAATAGAGCTAAAGCATTGTACTATATTCTACCGCCTGTGTCTTTTTGTGTTGTTGCTTTTGTTTGACAGTTTCTGCAGGTTTTTATGTCCTTTATACGCGCTCATTTTGAAATACAAGTTCTCGCTGTTTGTGGAATGACTCTGCTGGGTTTCATATCATGTTGGGACCTGGGTATTGTGTTTCTAACTTTTAGCCTCCAGTGAAAGAATCTTTCTAATGAAAGCTCTGTAGCTTTATTTCAATACTATTTGGAAGTTTGGTAGAGAACTTAGTTTTTAAAATTATATTTTATTCCTCTTACATATGTAGGGTTAGGGTTAGGGGCAGGATTCAAAAAGAGATTAAAAACATATTCCACGTCGAATCAAAACTTTGCTATTAACGATTCAGATTTAGGTATATAGGAACTAAAATGTTGGGGTTATTTCCATACACGGGCGGAGGGTTTCAAGCCGTACCGTTATCGCTGTGGCCGTACAATACTTTGATTTTCCCAAGTGCCTTGGTTGTTTGAAACGAATCCAGATACTTTAAGCCTGGTCCTCACTTGCGACGCAAACATAAGCATAGGAAGCTTATGGGCTACTGAGGACAGCCGCGACATAAGCATAAGCGTTCTTCTTATGCTTATGCTTATGTTCAGTGACGACTGCGCGGCTGACATAAGCTCAAATAGCTCGCTGATCGCTGATAGTCTTAGGCGTATGCTTATGCTTATGCCAACATGTCCTCACTAGACACAATGGCGACATAAGCAAAAGCATAAGTATGTGGTGAACGCAAGATTTTGAAATTCTTTTGCTTATGCTTGCTTCGCTAGTGAGGACCAGGCTTTAATGTTTGCACTGAGTAGATTACCTAATTGGACGTAAAGATTACTCTGGATCATTTTCAATTGCGTTTATTACCTCTTGCCATCGGCTACATTCATTATATTGGAACTAAGGTAGGCGTACCTTTTGTTCTCTCGCCAAAAATGACGTGAAAGTGATCAATAGAATAGTTAATCTTAATAAACTCCAAGAACAAATGTTGCGGCTTTTAGTTTAATTCGGTGCCGACCATAAGCTTAATTTACTTGCACATCAAATTTCGTATGGAAAGCTGCTTCTTGGGCGAGATTAAGCTAAAGAGATATACCGTGTAATGCCTGGCACAGTTACACCAAACGCGCAAAATATTTACGTGGCTTTCAGACAACAGACGATCGGGTCACATTCCACCTAACGTTCATGCTTTGTGGCTTCTCTTTCGCTCCGCGTTCTAAAATCAAGCGCTTTTTCTAGACCATTTTTCCTCCCCGCGCCCCTAGATGGATTTGTGTTCAGTAGTCCCGAGTTCAACTCCTCCACCTTTTCTAAATAGCCATCTGGTTAGCCAGCAACCAGTTGGGATTTTTAACAAGTTTTCAGTTCTATTTACAATAGTTGTTTTCTTATTTATAGTGTCCCCAATAAACACAGGAGTGTTAAATACCATGGCATTTTAAACTTTTTTTTTAATTTCACAAGCTACGCTGTGTTTTCTTCGAGAGCTAGACGACAGAAGTCTATAAATGTGATAAACGCTATCGACCTTCTACAACTTTACAATATCATATGCTTTCCGCCCGATTAACCCGCAAGAAGTGATCATCCAGCCATACCAAAGTTAATGATTGACCTCATGTCGGTTGGATTATGCGTTTCCGTCCATAGGTTTCGAAACCAACCTAGGAGCTTCCCATTTGAATACCATTTATTTTTAGTCTAGCTGACTCCAGGAAGCTAAACACACCTGTATATCACAGGAAACATCTCTCTAAAGAATCATAGGAATGCAACCCAAAAGTCGGTGCTTGGCAAAAGATGACCGGCAAGATGGAGGTGGTTTATAACATGAACAAATTCAAATCTATTCGACTCACGTACCTTTTCAGGTCATTCGCTCGGAGGCCTTTTAGATAACATTGCTAAGCCTGTCTTGCTCGAACAATTAAAAGTTCTAACCTCAAAAACTGAACCCTTGCAATCAAATATTTTAAAATATTTTTGGTACAAAAGGAAAAAAAGAGCAAAAACTGCTTTAGCTTTATCTGAGTACATGAACGTGCTGTATTGTGCATATTTCCAGGTTATTTCTTGCTTAAAAAACGTGACTGAACTAAACTTTATGGTGAAAGAACAAGAATCAATTCCGACTATTGATCATGTATTATTAATGCTCGTGATAAAGTTCACTGAATTCGCTTGTCGAAAGCTGAAACGAGAAATCAAGAAAACGTGAAAATGATTTCAACACGTGCACTTCTAATAGTATTTTGCTTTAGCTTGAAGACTGAAGTTTACGAATCCGAGGGTACCACTGTTTTCCAGGTTTTTACTTCGGGAATTAATTATAACTTGTAATATTATTTGATGAAATTTCATGTATTCAGAAATAAGACTTCTGTGACCACATATCCGCGCTAGTGACCTGAAAACGTACGTGAGTCGAATATATTTGAGCTTGTCATGACCACTTATATTATCATTCATCGTCTGTGGTCAAGGCCCGGCTTCTGATTTGGGTTTTAATGACGTTTTAAGTGGGGGTTTCCTGTGAGGTACAAGTGTCTTCAACTGCCTGAATTCGGGCTGAAAAGACACCGATTTTATTCGAAGCCACATTCCTTTGTATGTTTCATAACCTAAATCCGCCAACGCACAATTTAACTGAGGAGAAGTCAATCATCAGTTCTCGTGTGGTTGGATAGCCAGTTCCGTTCTTGAGTGTGAATTGGACGAAAAGCACTGCTGTGAGGGAAACGTTTCTCGCAGCAGTTATTTAGAGACTTTTGTCCTTAGTCCCTTAAGGAAAACATAGAATGGTAAACAGTAACGAGATGGAGAAACAAAAAGGTGCTTTCAAGATGTTCCGAGTTATTGCATGGCGCAGCAGGCTTGTCCAACGTCTGCAACAAGTTATTGCATGGCGCAGCAGGCTTGTCCAACACATGCAACAAGTTGTTGCACGGCGCAGCAGGCTCGTCCAACTTATGCAACAATTCTGCAACGTGTTGTTTTCAAATGTTACGTGTATTTGACCTGGTCTTGTTTTTGGAGTCTGGAGCCTGTTACCACTCCTTGAAATTCAGGCACTAAACTCTTCTTTACTGAAGACTCTTATTAAACAATTTGAAAACTTCGTTCGACAGGTTCGGCAGTTTTTCCAAATTAAAGAAAGATTCATTGTAACATATAAGTCTTGCTGTTTGTGGAATGAAGCTGCTGAGTTTCAGTTTCCCTCCTGACGACTTTACTTATTAAATTTGTGCAATATGTTTGTGGCATTTAGTCTGTGAGCGAAATCCACAATTGTGATCATTCACATGAAAGCTTTTCACATACGTTTCAGCGAGATATGATTTGAATATTTTATAACAGTTGCCAAATCGCATGTTTTCTGTTTTATAAGCACTTTTCTGTTAACTAGCGCCGATTCTACGACAGAAGTAAAGTTTGGAACTATATCGCGATCATCATTATATGGAACTGAATAGCTGCAGGCATTTCGATATATCAGTCGAAAGTTTGAAGATGAAACTTTCATTGCTCTGAAAAAATGCATTCAAATCTCAAAAGGGCTGATCAGTAGTTGATTATTTCTAACGAATACATTAGACTGTCCAACATTTCACAATGTTTTAGATGACCACTGTTACAAAGTCCAAAATAAATTGTCAATAGTTTTATTTCTGGATAATTTATTATCACATTTTTGCCGTGGGCCACATAACAGAATATTGTCTTGGAAATTAGGTGGCCAGTCTTTTCTTTTGTTCACAATGAACTGGAAATGATCCAAAAAGATTGGACTGCAAAGAACGCTCAAGGGCAGATTTAGTTTTAATCCAGTTACAATTGTAGTAGTTTATTGGTCAAAATGTTCTTCCACGCAAGAGGATGAAAGTTCCTGTGTTAAAAAAAAATCAAGGTACATATATAAACCACAAAGGTTTAAACAAATTAAAGAAGAAATAGGTGCTAAACGCTTATGAATTTTATGAAAAAGTTATCTTATCTGGGAACAATAAGTAAAATTAGAACAAAAGTTAACCACAGAGCATATCGAGATAAGTGTCGAGAGAATTAATCTTTGCCTGCTCGGTTCCTTTTTCTACATTATGGGTTGCTTTACAAGCTTTTTGCTGTATCCATAACTTAACACGAATTATCATTATTCTGTAATCGGCGACAACGAAATGACTGGGGTCTACTAGATCCTTAGTATTGTTCACGTCGTTTGTCCTTAATTCATACACAGTGTAATTATAATCGACCCAATTTGGTGGTAATGTTTTTTACTAAATATCACCCGCTGAAATACGATTTCAAAAAGATAAGATCAAAAAGTCTATTGCACAACGTTGTGAGGTATAGTGTAATTAGGCGAACTCGCATTTCCAGACGACCATCATTAGCCATAGATCAGGATAATCATACGAATAATTAACTCATAACATTTAACTTCCGCTGTTTACCAAAGAGTACCATTTGTTTGTGAGGCAAGGTCCAAAAATGACCCGAAAACCGCAAAAACACTTTAATTATTTGATGAACATCATCAACCGTGGAATTAATCAGCTTCTTATTAGACCAAATATCTCGACAGTTTCCATTTCGTGACCCAGCTCTCCATGGATGACCTACCAAATCAAATGTGCTTAATTGCAACTTTCACTCCCCGTCAAAACGCCTGCAACAAGTCTTAGAAACACAATACACAGTTAAGAATCCATTTTCGCCGCTCGCCACAGGCGACGTAGAATCGTATAACTTCCTATTTTTAAAACCCATTGAATAGAACCGGTGGGAAGGAAATCGCTGATGTTAAGGGAAATCACGTCATAGTGGTAACTATTGAAATTCAGCCTCAGAACATATCTCCCTCCTCTCTCGGTGCTGTGATTATAAGCGTATTGGTATGTGTTGTTTGTATATTGTTCTTTCAGGACAACTTGTCTGTTGACAATTTAAACAAACGCGTAAAGACAGAAACAAACAAGTAAGGGAGGTTGTAAGATCATAGTTTGAACTACAGAGAAAGGTACCGCTTAAGTCGTGTATGTAACTGTGATGATCAATCATGCCTTCATAATACTATAAGTTTTAAGGCAGGTTGTGTTTTCGGTTCCGCAACACACGTTCCTGAACTCTCTATCACCGCTTCTGACGGCTGTCTCCGTTTTATTTTTTTACTACAGGAGCACATCTAAAAAAGAACTTGGTTTTAGCCATGGTAAACAAATTTACCTGCAGTCTTCTTCTACTCCTCTTTATGGGCATTTTTACTGCTGCTCCCTCGCCAACGCTAATTTCTATGCCAGACTGGTACGAGGTTCGAGATGGCACTTTTAAACTGGCACATAGTACGGACGACAACGGTACACAGTGGACTCAAAAAGTGAGCTTGGAAAGGCTCGAAGTTCTGGCGAATGACATGGCTCTAAATCTACCTTTTGCAAGCTGCACCGAAGTGAAATTTACGAGGCAGAATAAATATGCGGATCACCTTGGACAAGACTCAAAGTTTGAAGAAATACACCAGGTACTATTAAGATTTATTTGCTGATAAAACGTAATCAACATCGCTTTACCGGTATTTTTGGAGTGGGGGAAAAGGAGTGAAAGGGGGAATGGGCAAGGGGGAAAGGGGGAAG